TGCCACCATCTCGAAGGAAATTCAACAAGTCGCTCGCTCAACACTGGCAAAGAACCACGTCTACATCAACTGCGTCTCGGACGAGGCCTCGCCTGTGCATGCCCATGTCGACCAGTACCACACCGTTCTCCCTAGCGCAGGCGACCAACTCCCGCACATCATGCGGCTCATCATGCACGACCAGCTGACGAACCCGACAAACTCAAAAGTCATCGTCTTCTTCCCGACCACCAAAATGACGCAGCTCTTCTCGACCCTAATCTCGACGCTCGCGCAGAACACCCTCCCTAACGGAAGGCAGACGCGCATCTACGAGCTTCACTCCAAGCGCACTCAGGACCGACGGGTCGCGGTGTCGGATTCGTTCCGCCGGGCCACAGGCCCCAGCGTGCTCATCACTTCGGACGTGTCGGCGCGTGGTGTCGACTACCCAGGCGTAACGCGGGTTATCCAAGTCGGCATCCCCTCTGGACGCGAACATTACGTTCATCGTATTGGTCGTACTGGGCGGGCAGGCAGCAAAGGTCGGGGCGACCTTGTCCTTCTGCCTTGGGAGATCGGCTTTGTCACTTGGCAGCTCACAGACGTCCCTCTGAAGCCGCTCGCGCTCAACGAGCTCAAAGACTCTGTCAAGGAGCTCGCGGCAAAGCATGACGAGGACCCGCAAGCATTCCTCGACCCTCACAAGACACAACCTGGTCGATCGCCATTTGTCCCTGAAGTCGTCCCAGTCGCGGAAAATGTCGATACAAATATCAAAGCTCTGCTTAACCGACTCGACGGTGGTGCTATCCGGGAGACGTTCCTGTCCCTGCTCGGCTATTACATGGCCAAGACGCCCGAGCTGCGTATAGACAAGCCCGTCGTCGTCCAGGGCTGCCAGGACTGGTCGGTTGAGGCCTGCGGGCTCGAGAGCGCACCATACGTCTCGGTTGAATTCCTCCAGAAGCTCGGCCTCACCGATGGGCGTACACGGCACTTTGGCAAGCAGCGGCAAACGTCCAGCTGGGCTCAACGGGACTTGAATCAACCCGCATGGATGGCTCGCGGAAACGTGCGCAATAGGATGGAGAGAGAAGGCTCGCCGACGATATTGCATGACCCGTCCAAGGCTGTTGATAACGGCAGAGATAGCGAGGTGGCCGAGTACCGCACCCAGCGCTATCGCGACACGGGCAATGGTTACGCCGGAAGGAAGGGCAGAGACCAAGATATGGGATTCGGTGGTTCGCGGAGGCCGGCCGGTAGTGGATTCGCGAATGATTCTGGATATCCCCGTCGGGATGGAGGGGGTTACAGTAGTCCCAGGCGGGAAGGCGGTGGTGGTTATGGTCAGCGGGACAGCGGTGGTTATGGCCAGCGGGATGGAGGGCGAGGAGGCGGTTACAGTCGCGGCGGAGGTTACGGCCAGCGTGACAGCGGTGGAGGAGGTTATGGTCAACGGGACGGAGGTGGAGGTGGCTATAGCAGACGAGACAGTGGAGGGTATGGTGGCTCTCGTTCCACTGGGAGCTCAGGTGGTGGTCGGCGGACTGGTGGCTTTGGCTCGGGTCCTGCGGGCGAGTAGTGTACGATCTCTTTTTCAATTATTCATCCATGTAGCACCTCAGCTTAGATGCCAAAGAACCTAATTAGATCTGCTGGCGGCATCATTTGATGAGCCATCTCTGCTGCGAGCGACCTTCATGAGCTTGCCTCCCGAACTCTGGCTTCACATTCACGCGCTAGCCACCGCCAAAACATCTGCGCTTGCCGTGGCCCAGTCCGACCGATTCACGCCGCGGTATCAAGATTTATCAAATCCCTTCAAGCACATCGACCAATTTCACCGCGTCAGTCAGTCTTTCCTGTCTCTTTCGTCAAATAACCGCGTTTTAGGATGTCTACTCGTTTCTCCGTGTCTCCAGGATGTGGAATATGCTCGCTACGGGACTGCTGTACCAAAATATCGTCGTCGACGACCAGTTTCCGGTGCTCCATCGCACCCTCAAGGAACGACCAGAACTCGCGCGCTCCGTGAGGGCGGTCTGCCTCTCAATTCGGAGGTTTGACTACAACAGTGTCATCCTGTTGTGCTGTCCAGATGTGCAAGTAATTGTGCAACCGGACGACTACACCACAGCCGGTATGGACTCGACAATCAGTGTCGGTTTCGACCCACAACACTGTGCGATTCCCAAGGCACTGGCGTCTCTAAAACACATGTACTGGGTCGAAACCGACCTTTCCACGGGGATGCTTCAGCCTCTCCTCGTTGCCGCGCCGCAGCTCGTGCGACTCTTCGTCTCCGAATCCAGTCGCACAGCAACGCGGCGTACACCGCTGAACCTTTCCACCGTCAAACTTCAGCTCGACCGTCTCAGCCTCGGCGAGCTCGTTGGTTGGGACATGACTCGATCCGTCCTCGGATTGAGTCTCTCGTCGCTGACAAGCCTGGAATGTGCCCCTGGCTTTATCGAGCACGCTGACTTTCCCGCGACGCTCCCCCAACTACACACTCTCCGCCTTTCCTGTTTCCGCTCCCGGATCCCATTTGCGCGCATCTTTGTGCGCTTCCCCGCACTGCGGGACCTCTGGTATGGCGTCTGGGACAGCTTCGTCCCACTGCCTCGCCAACCGCATGAGAATGTCAAGGGGCCCAATCGCCTCCTCGTCCGTCTCACCTCGGCCATCTCTTTTCGGGTCGTCCGTGACTGGAAACCCATTCACGACCATTTTGCGCTCCTCCTCGATCCTGCATTCCCGCCGACAGCCCGCGTCGTTCTCTATGGTGCATGGGACTGGATCATGAGCGACTCGCGTTTCGTCCCCATACGCACCGCCTTGCGAGTGCGAGGGTGCGTGTTGGAACATCCTGAAGGGAGGGTGGTGAATTAACTGCGGGGATCTGATATCATGGATTTCTTTCTCAATTTGCTTTCTGATACTGGGGCCCCACACCTTCCTTACTGCCTTGACTTGGTTTCCCAGCCAGCAAGGATGATACCACGATATTTACTTGGCGAACATAATACTCTTTGACTATCTCATGCTTAGTGTGCCAGTGCAACGGCCAAGACAGAAAATCATGCCAGCTCTTCCCTCCACTTCAAAGACTGAGAGAACTCGCCTTTGGGCCTGATCCCCAAGCACCAGCAAACGCGGCAAAGACCCTTCCCACTTCAAAAAAAAACACACAAAGTCGATCAATCCTATATGGTGTACTGTATGTGAGGGGGTACTTGGCCACCCTAGGATCTTAGCCATTTCTATATTTTCTCCCTCTCAAGTTGGCCGATGGCTTAGATTATTGTGCTCAGTGGAGCAGGAATATCTGAGGTGCCTCTGTGTCAAATTTGGTGTCTAATGGAGTGATAGCCGTGCGGTGACGTCCGTTGTGGTGGGCTGTGATCGAGGCAGAAGGCCGTTTTCTTAATCGGGAAGACACTTGAAACTCTCCGTTCTCCATCATTTCTTGGGTGTTTGCCATGATACTGGGCTCGTTCTGACCGCGAGACGCGAGGGATCCTGCTGGGTACTACCAACTTAATTGATATATATGCCGTGAGCACGTTTTCAACAAGTTCCGGGGCGTCAGAGCGTTTTCTGAGGTTTCTAGTGCTATTCTTCTGCCTACAACACTCTCCGTCTTGTCAAGTTATACCATGAAATTGGTGCCGGAATGAAGGTATGAATCTTAGCTTTTAGAATCTGTCTCTAGCTCGTGGAGAAGTGCAGTGGACAGTCAGTAAAACGTTGTGGCTAAGTACCTGATTTGATCGGTTTCCTGGCAGCTGCCGGATTTTATTCCCTGTGGCCTCAATTCTTATTGTAAAATCTTGAAACTGTAGTATATCATGTATCATATGCTAGTCAACCACCCAGGAGCTTTTTCGTTTCCAGGGATCGCGATGAAGGCTCAAGAAACCACATCAACCTTAAGGTGGCTAAGTACACCCTCACATACAGTAGTGGCTAACGTGGCCGCCTCTGTAAAAAAAAAAAAAAGTGTTTTTTTTCTTCTTCTAGGAATTGACCCGTTGCACCACAAGTCCGAGGTAGGTACAACGAAGGGACGCGTCTACACCGGGCTCTTCGCATCCTTCCCGAGTCGGCGTCGATGCGTCTCCGGCTCCCAGCCATCTCAGACCAAATCCAAACCTTCAAGTTCAAGCACAATAAGCTTTCATGAGCTCCCCGTGGGCACAGGACAACGAACGGATCGTTGATGGTTACCGTAGAATTTCAGCATGGCTGGGTTGGCTGCGGCTGCTTCGAGTCCATCTTTGAATGTGAGACCGCAACTCTTTAATGATGGAGCCCAGGTGATGTGCTGCTAAGTAGGGTTTGAACCATTCATGATCATGAGACGCAGCTCTGTGCCAAATTTCGTGTGGTGCAGTGCCGTGGTTGGGCGACGCCGGCGGTGATCAATTTTGTCACCGCATGTGAGGGTGCCAGATTGGGATGCCTCTATCGCGCCATCCAAACGCACTGTGGACACGAAATTTTCAGGGAGGCTACAGGCAGGTGGAATCTAATTCCTCCAAAATTTTGGCTGAATTTAAAATTAAATTCCTCGATCTGTCCCCGATATTCTGATCTGATGACCTCCCGCAACAAAGAGTTCACAAGGTGGTCGACTACACGCAACGCAACCCTCCCAGCCCATAGGACATGTCAAGAACCAAAAAAATAACAAATGACGTGTACAATTTAGCGCTGGCTGCTGCTGTTTCAATACCCGCGGGCCGTGGCTCAATATCGCTCAATTTGAAGGTGCGCAACTTGTAATGGCCATAACTCAGTGAATTCTTCACCGCTCAACTTAGTTTTTCTTTTGTTGCATCCAGAGTCTTTGCTGCTATTCAGCCAGCAAAAATTAGACCTGTGAAACATCTGTGCGGACCGTTACACCGGCAATTGCCAGTTTTCCTTTATTCCGTTTCATTCCGGTTCTCGTGCACAACCTAGGCCATCTCTCCTGCTAGTTGGACTCTATTCAGGCCATGCTCTGCAACTCCTATATGGTGTAGTGGTTAACATTACCGCTTTTCAAAAAGAGCGACTTTAAAGAGCTGCTCTAACCTGATCGCGGTAGCCCGGGGTTCGATCCCCCGTATGGGAAGCTTTTTGCGTCTCCGCCACGCTCCCCGCCACTCACAAACAACAACCGACCCCAACAACGTCGAACGCATCCAGTTTCAAGCCATTTGAGCAAGAATTGCGACCGCAATGGTGCAAAGAACACGATGTCTCTTTTTTTCTCCCCCCCAAATTCAGTGTTATCAGAAAAAGTAGGGAAAGATTCTCAATCCGACCTCAATTTTCCGGATGCTTCAAGAAAAAAAAAGAGATGGCGCGACAGCCCGGGGTTCGATTTCCCGTATGGGAAGCTTTTGCCGTTTGATTCTTTGCGAAATTTACAGATACCTTATTGCTCGCTGAGAAGGGCCGGTAGATGTCCTCACTGTTTGCAACCCCAAATGATACAAAGGAGCTGGCAACATGCGGGGAGACCCAAAAGGATTTGCCGTTGCAGTGGCTCTGGGCTTTCTATTCATGCACAATGTGCGGTCCTTTCTGGACATCCTCTGGCCTCCGGACTTCTCAGAGGCCTCAGGTGTCCTTCAAGTCTCAGCCGGACACCTTTCAACATAGACCTAAGCTTTCAGGCTATCTGGGTTTTTACCCAAAAGTGTGCCACATGTGGATTCTACCGAAGCGGCACCCAATTTGGCTTAGCGCCGTATTCAAGTCTTTGAGTAAAAATCTTTTAAAGAAACCCAGGTCAAAATGGAAAATGAAATGCTGCTTCGGAAATATGAAGCTATTTTACAAGCCTATAGTATTAGATTTATTATCCTTACCATAAGTCCCATCAATTTATTCACATTCTTTTTTCTGATTTTTCAAACAACTAAATAGTGCATTCTGATGATGTCCAAAATTTTTGAGAACCGGTGTGGAATACATCCAAGGTTTATGGTAAATTGAGAACTGGTACTAGGTGGAAGGAGGGCAAACATTCAGACATTGAAGAATCAATCTCACCCTTTGAGCACCAGGGCTATTGTCTGCAACAGAATATGTGGCACTAAAGACTGTTAAGGCATTGTGAATGGCAGCTTGGGCAGCAGGATGATCCATCCAGGAGATAATATTGTTCTCCTTGCTCTTTGACACTTCAAAGGTGGGGGGAGCAGGGAAAATTCTCAAAATGCTGGCCTCTAGGACTGCTTGAGCCAACAAATCGAGATTTTCTGAGAGACGGCATAAAGCCTGAGCAAAGCGAAGCTGGTGTGTTTGGTGGACTTTGTTATGTTTAGAATGGTCAAGTGGGAGCTGCTGAATCATGTCTGCTGCTCTACTTCCCATGTCAGTTCCAGTGCAGACATGGTCCAAGAATTCTGCCAGGAGTGCAATTTGAGCCTCGAAAACAAGGGGCTTGAATTGCTCTAGAAATTCTTCATAGGACTGAGTAGGTCCTAGAACATGCACAGATTCAGAGGGTAAAAGCTTCTGCATCAGTGTTGGTGATGGTACCTTCCGACCTGTAGCACTGTGCCAGGGGCCCCTTTTCAGAAGCTCTTTGAGAAACCCAATTTTGATAGAGAGCATAACTCCAAAGTCCAATGGTGGCTGGTGTTTTATAGATGCCTGAACAAATGCATCATACTCTGCCTCAGTGAGAAAACCTGCATCACTAAACAACACGGTGCACTGAATAGCTTCTAATATGTTGCTAATGCTGCTTTGCTCTGCTAACTCAAGAGTGACAGGAAATGAACGCCACAGATGGGCTGTCAGACCAGTCCTCCTGAGGAATGTGGCATTCTCAGAAATATTTTCCCGACAGCTATTTAGTTGGGACCAAATTATTTCTGGAATGGGCCTTGGCTCAGCAGGTTGCCAGTAACGACACAGAATGGGCAGAAGCCTTGCATTTGTCTCCCGGAATTTTGGTTCTTTTGTGTTTATTTTCCAATGGAGTATTGTTTCCACCATCAAGAGGTCCTCTGGGCCCACAAACTGACCAAAATCAGTAGGAGTGATAAGTCGCAGAGTCTCCTCCCATCGATATGGTAGTGCTGCTTGAGATGCAGTAAGGGTGAGAAAGAGGAAGAAAATAGAGTGTGCCAGCTCTGAGCAGATTTCTTTGGCTATGACCCGAAACTTTGTGACGTCAAGAGATGCATCAATCAGTCTTTGCACCTGGTGGAAGGATGTGGTAGTGGTCTGTCCATTTAGGTAGTGTATAGCTGGGTTGATGCACCTGTGCAGGGCATGGACAGATTGGGAACCATCTGCATATGAATCCAGGAACACCTTCAGCCAGAGGACTCCGCTCCACCGTATCAGGACAGCAGCAGAGATCTGGTAGTGCAAACCGCCTTCTGAAAGTCGCCTTGCTGATGACCAAATTTGCTCTAAGCCCTCTACACTCATCTCAGGAGGTTGTGATTGCACAAATGACCTGAGAGGTGGAATGGTTGCAATGGCCCACATTGCTTTGAAGCAAGCAATTTGACGCCGTCGGCTTGCTTCTGGTGAGAGCAGCTGATCATCACAGCTCCGAAGCAGTGCTAGTATTCGGGAGGGTAGCTTGAGCTCTGAAGAGTCACAAAGGTTTCGAAGGTATTCCGTGTAGATGTGAGATTCAGCCATAGCCTCTGGTATGCCATCTACAAAGGCTTCAAGCTCATTATGGTCAGATAATGAGTCCACAGTCCACTTCAGCGCCCGAATGTCCCGCTCCTTCTGGCCTTCCGAAAAATTTCTTGCACTGCGGATTATATTGACAAGGATTGATGGTGAGGGCAACTGTGTAGATCGGCATTTGAACCGGTGAAGCAAGGGGATTGCAAAGGGCCAGAGTGCATTGGAGAGAGGTGTTCTGTATGGACTGTCAAAGTGTATAAGGGGCAAAATGGTCAAGATAATATAGACTCCAACAACCAGAGCCATAATCCCGGCCACTAGAGCTGCAATTATCTTGTTGACAGGGAGCAGGAAGGCCACTAGGCCAGCAAAGAAGAAACCCAGGGATGCATGTAGAAGTGACGGAATCACGTCCACAACAGCGTGCATTCGAAATCGCCGCAGTCCATAATAGAGGTAGGAGTACATGCGGGCACGAGTGACAGGGGATGAGCGTGTGTTGGCCCTGTGGAGGAAATCTCGGGCCCATTGCGCAAGGAGAGTCGCCATGAGCGCGCACGCCAAGCTGAGCCCAAGGCTCACGAACCAGAGTGCATTGCAAATGAGCGACGTCACAGCTGGCCTGAAGGGAGCCGGCGCCGAAGGTGTGAATGACGAGTTGGAAGCCTGTGATGCTGCGAGGATTTGGCCCAAGAGGTGAACCGTTGCATCGCCAGAGTCGGGTACAAGTGTCTTGTAGCTTTCGACAAGAAAAGCTGTTAGACTGGCGGAAAAGAGACCAGCCTTCAAAGCTGTTAAGAGGTTTTCATGTATGCAGGCAACCCACGAATATTAGCATTCCCTCCATGTCGCTCCTCCAGCTTTCCACGAGCGACTTGTCGTACTTCTCCGCTTCATCGACGTAGACGGACCAAAGCTTCGCAGCCCCTGCCTCTTCACGGTCGCGCGATCCTAGAGGTGCTTGGTCAATCACATAGTACTGCCTGTGACTGCCAGGTGGTTGAGTCGGGGGGTTCTGCTCAGGGTCCATGGCAGTCGAGGTCAAAGATGTCGATGTTGTAAGAATTCACGCACAGCAACTTGGGAAAGATGGGTTCCATTTTTACTGTCGCCGATATAACATAACATAACATAACTGTAAGCTCCTTTAGACAAGGCAAGAAATTAATTACCACATTACGAATTCCACCAAAAGGTTTCAAACAGTAACAACTCCCGCCACGCATCCCAACAGCGTCGCATCCACCGTGCCCCCAGTGGTTTCCTCCAACCACGCATCTAGGCGTTCAAACAGCTTCATCGCCGGTTTCTGCGCCATGCTCTGCACGACCTCACCCGGTTCCGGTGCGTACAGCGGCCCAGTTTCATAGAACGCGGCCTTCTTCCCAGGCCACATCGCAGACTCCTGCAGACCGATAAAGTTGAAGAGGATCGCGCCATTGCCGTCGGGCGGCAGCTTGACGACAAGGTCCAGCGTCCACTGTTCGGCACCGTAGAACGATGCCTCTTTGACGTGGTGCCGCGTGAGCTCATCCGGCGGGTTGCCGTCGAGGTTCCATTCGAGGACGTGTGCGTCAAAGGCGACCACTGAAACGCGTACCGGAATCAGCATATGATGTCGCAGATGAGGAAGCAAGACACGTACCAGTCCATATCAGCCCCGGATGTCTAACCACGAGCCGGAAACTACGTGTGCCCGCAGCGAAGTTCGTTACGTCGTTCTCTGCTGACAGAGTGAATGCAGCCAGCCATGGGGAGACGTAGTCTGCTCGTGAAGCTGCGGGAAGCGCGAGTTTGTAGGGAGAGAGGAACTGCGAGTTGATGAGCTATGGATAGGAGAAATGGAAATATACCTACAGCAGAGAACGGGTACAAAGCGTCCCAGTCCGAGTTGTAATCGTTCATCACGACCGTCTCCGCTTGCACTCCCGAAAACTCGGCGGCGATATCTTGGACGAGCTCAGCGAATCCTGGTGCCCCGTCCGCAGTCGCGATATGTAGGTGGTGTTCGCTCGTCGTCACCTATGTTCCGTCAGAACCTTTATACACCAAGAAGCCACACTTGCGACATACGTTCTCCAGATGCACCACAAACAGCCGCTTCTGGTGCATCTCATCAAACACATCCTTCTGCGCATATATGGCGATGTTAAGCAGTACCCCGACCCCAAGGACACCGACCATCTTGCGGAGCGTCTGCGGACCAACACGGTGCGCGAAGGGGACCACGAGCGGGAGCGAGAGGGAGCCGAGTAAGGAGACGAGAGTGGCGACGATGTTGTCTGCTGGCACAGGGCCCATACGGCCGGTCTAAAAGGCAGAACCTGAGTAACTCGAGGCAAAGGCCGCCGTCGACTCACCAACGGGACGAAGACCTCCAGCGTCGGCACCGTCATCAACGTCCCGCCCAACAACGGGATGAAGGACCCCAAGCCATAGACCCACAATGACACCTCTCCAGCGGTC